GTCAAGATGGGAGTGGGTTGGGGGTTTGACAAGTCACATCGAACAGCCCTAACATCCTACAACACCAACTGTTTAAATTTGAATGCCTCTTTGAAATGAATATATTCATAATATCTGGTTCCCATGATCTCATGTTTAACTYGGGCTCTTTGATAAATGTTTCCTAGGTTTATAAAACAACTATATCTCAAAAATAGCATACTGGTATAAAAGTGTGACATTAGCGTATAAAAAATCTCTACAGTTTTGTATGACATCATRAGTTTAGCTTGTTGCTGTTTTCTCAGTTGAACAATGTGTTGTTATGTGAACGTATATGGTGAAAACGGACTGTATGTGTCAAAAGTACAGGTGCTGCAAAACAAATTTTTGTTTGGCTAGCCTTTAGCCTAGCCCGACCAAAGACTTCTTCCCCTTTCTCCTTACTTTGTGCTCTATGAATGATGTCGTGGCTGAAAAGGTACTAACGAATGATAACTGTATCCATGAGCATGGTTCTACTCTAGTTCGGGTCTGTTTGGTTCTGCTCAGGTGTGTGTATGTCTCCATTWCAGTGTGTCTCTCACTCTGTGGGTATGATTATGGGCGGTCCYTCCACAGTGGCTTCAGTTGTTGTAGTTTTATCATTCGGACTTTACTTTTTATTTATTTATTTATTTTTTGCGGTGCTGTTTATACAGTAAGTGCTTGGGTAACCATGGGTGGCCAGTTTGTTTGAAATTTCATTCACCTTATTTCAGGAAGTGCTTTCTGGATTGAAGTTCTAARTTGATTTGATGTAATATTTCTGCAGTAATTCTTAAGAAAACCTTTTATTAGTGAGAAAGATTACATATGAAACAAAATGATATAAAAAGATTGATGGCATAAACATCTGAATTTGTTTACTTTAAAATCCAAACAGGGTTAATACCAGAGATGTGATAAAGTGTGATAAATAATAAACTGACAAATGCAGGGTACCTGTATTACCCCATACCTAAAAATGAGTAAAATATTAACATAAATCACTATAAACACTTCAAATTCCATTTAAAATATTCAAAATAGCTGAAAAACACACTGATTAAAACAATACACGGCAAGCTAAGCCAATGAACAGTTTACATAATTTATTAGGGAGAACTACTTTGTGGAGCGAATGAATCTTTTAGGTGGGGCAGCACCTCACCTGCTCTTACAGACCAGCCACACGGTAGTTAGTTTTGTGTGTTTGTGATTCATTTTTCCTGGTTCATTAAATGAAATGGTACTGAATGTAATGAGGTGACGGCGCTCTGTCCTGCTGTTTGACAGAACGTAACTGAATATTTGTTCTGGAGCCAAACTGAATAAAAGCTACTCCTGCTGTTATGGAGAGAACCGTTGTTTCTGTGAGGGTCAGAGGACCAACGCTTCACCACTGATAATTGCTGGGTTGTAGATGACAGTTTTGACATCATGAAATGCAGATGGAGGGCAGGAAGTAAAGCCCCGTTTCCTTCTGTTCATTCAGTGTCAATATGCCTAAATTCTGTGCCATGTGCAGTCGTTGCAGTTGCTCTAATCGGGACAAAATATATATAAGTTTTTTGTGTTTCAAAAGTAGTGTGTCACAAGGGAGTTAATTTCAAAAAACTTACAGAAAAAAAGACGACAAAAGTGGACCAACAATCTAAGCAGGAGTTGTGGAAATGAGCAATACAAGACATTCTTGTACCTTTGTGATGCAGCACTCASTGTTTTTGTCAGAGGTCTATAAAGTTCTTGGAAAAAAAACTAAGTAAAAGTAAAAATACCTTAACAGTAAATGACTGGTAAAAGTAAAGTTCACTGACGAGAAAAGTATTTAAGTAAAAGTCATAAAAACTTACACAAAAATTGGCAAAGTAAATGTATATTTACACGCTCTCTAAGACATTAACTGTTGAATTTACCGAACTAAACTGGTTCCACTAAACCAAGTTGAGTAAATTAATATATATTGTATATAGGGATGGGTACCTTTGACATTTGAATCGATTCGGTACCAATATCTGGTACCAGGGAATTGGTACCGGTACTTAACAGTACCGATTTTCAGTACTTTGTGTGGGTTGTTTTTTTGAATAGTAAACTTTTTTTTTACATATTTCTCAATATATAAAATTTAACAAATATCAAGACAACATCCAARTCTTTGTATTATAACATCAGTTGTTTAACAAATTTCTTTAAAGTGAAAACTCTTGAAAACAACAAGACTGTTTTGTCTTATTGCACAAATTAAAATCCAGCTCCATGTATTTCTATTGATGTCATTTCCCTGCTAGAAAATTTGTGTGATGGGGTCCATGGAAGGCAAATAAGTTTAAATCAAATAAGCAAAAGAAGATTGAGTTAAAATAAATAAAAGCTGTTCAAGCTACGTTTTGAGCATCTAAAACGCGCCCAGCGCGTCAAGTTGGCTGCTTGTGCTCTTTCAGGTCAGATGCATTCAGACTGTCGGGAAGCGCCTCTTTTGTTTTCCTCTGCCAGTCTCTGTTTAATGGTGGATGAAATAAAGAAAATGGCGGTACTTTATTTACTTTGAGCAAGCGAACATCATGTTCACCAGATGATTAATCCACCAGATATTTCAGACGTGGTCTGTTCGGTGAGTTTCACTCCACAAGCTGCGAGGCTTTCAAGCTACATTCAGACCCAACTCTRCTGTTTACTGAACCAGCAGCTGCTCATGTCATATGCTCTTGCGCAATGCTGTGTTCAGGACATGCATGGAAAATCCCTCACTCTTACGCCAATACGGTCACAATGATGCATTTAGGTACCGAAACATGGTACCGTTTGATGTAACGTGAATAGGTACTCAGTAGTACTGACAGAATTCGGCCAYTACTTATAAAATTATCAAATTTGGTACCCATGCCTTACTGTATATACTGTATTTACTCTACTAGGTTTAGTGGAACCAGATGACATGACTTGGTTGAAAAAAAGAGAAAATTCAACACTTTATTTTTTAGAGTGCATAAACAACTCCTTTCATGATGAGTTTGGACATATTTAATTTTGTAACAAGTAGGTGTTAAATTTTAAAGTAAAGGAGTAAAAGTATAATTTTTAGGTTTTAAATGTAATGAAATAAAAGTAAAAGTGACTTTCAAAAAATACTTGATAAAATTACAAACCGTCAAAAAAATTGCTCAAGTACTGTAGCAAAGTAAATGTACTTAACATTTTCTAACATAAACCTCTGTTGTTTGTTAGAAAATAAATGCACTGGTTTAATAATGTAATGTAATAATGTAATGTATTTTCATAATCTCCCCGAGACTCAAAACGCTTTTTAAATTAATCTACAAAGTATTTTAACCACACTTCAATGTATATTTTACAAAGACCAATATATTTTATATTCACTGTAGTTTTTTGACAAAAACATAGTCAACACATTAAACCCAAACACACACAGGAAACCAGAGAAATTCACACACCTGGTATGTGTGGATTGGACTGAAGTACTCGTCCATCTCATTAATGGCATCCCACTGAGAAAACAGAAACAAGAGAAAAAGAAACAGTTCCTGGTTATTTGTGGGTTTCTRACATTCACATTCATCAAATCATACATGCTCACTGTAACGTCAAATAAAACCCATGATAACTCTAASCATCAGTTGCAGTGAGGTGGATGTGTTGTAGAGGTTTATTCATTCTAAATAAAACTAAAACTTTATTAGGTTTATGATAAATAAGTTCCTCTGGCAAATTCATGTTTAGTTCAAGGCAATGTCACACAATTAACAATCTTGTTAGCCTGAAGAGTTTTCTTTATTTTAAAAAGTCTTACCAAGTACACTTGTCAAACTACGCTAGTAGATTATTACTTATTAATTTGAGAAGATTCACACAACAATTTAGTATTTTTGAACCTCTTTTTAGATGGGCAATTTTTGTATTGCCGTGTCTAATCAGTCATACAATTCTTAAATTAATTATTTGCAAAAAAATAAAGTGAATATATATCTAATTATCTGTAAAAAAGAAAAAAGAAAGAAACGCTTCACCTGTATTTTACATCTCAGAGCCTGTAAGGTCATATCGTCATGCCAACTTTAGTGAATGTTACAAACTTTGGTCTAACTTTAAACCTGGAGGTAGTCACAGTAAACTGTTTTTCAAAGAAAATTGTCACATATACAGTAATTAAACCAAACATTCTTAAATGTACCTTAATTTGCTAAATATATGTAAAAAATAATATTACTAGAACTAAAACGAAATAATTGATAATCACGAATTAAAGAAACAGCTTTAAAGAAGACAGATTAACATGAAGACTGATGATGCAACGTAATTTTTTGAAGGAAAATTGTGACGAGATGATAAAATATGGAAATTCAACTCAGTTGCCCTCGAACAACAAGTCTTGGGATCTGAAACTAAAATATGGTTAATCACGATTTTTCAGATTAGAACAGCCACATTTTGATACAAAGAGACATTTTCTTTTACAGACAAATCAACAGTGTAAAATATTCATTTTTATTAAGATTTACTTTCTAATTCAGCCAAAAGAGAGCAATGTGAGTCTTATTTGAGTCTTGTAGATAATTCTTTCAAGTTGGGTTAATTTTTTTTGGGAAAAACCAGGTCCTAAAGGAGTTTCTTGCCAAAGCATAAATTTATGATAATATCAACAGGCTTGGCATCTTTAGTCCTGAGGTAGAGCTGAGATGTTTGGTGGGCCTGATTAGAATGAGTCAGGGTAMCAATCACCATTTAGTACCAAGGTTCTCCTCTAATAACAATCACCAGATGTGCTTTTGTATCTCTTCAGATCAGTTTATTCCTCTAAGAATGCAGTTCTTTTATAGCTTGTGAAAAGAGGGGGAGTTTGTAGGAATGATCCTGTTAATTGTCATAAAACAGGGTCTAAGTAGATTTTAATACAGMACTGTACGTTCAGTTGCTACAAATACGTCAGCATTGTGAAATAAAGTCATGTTATTGATGACCATGATGCTATACATCTGTTAWCTTATCCCAGGGGTCTGCAACCTTTATTAACAAAAAAGCCATTTTGRCCGGTCTTCATCCAAAGAAAAATAGTCTGGAGCCGCAAAACATAACACAGCTTATAAAGCTGTATYAGTTTTATTCCTTTTCTATTTCTACCTGTTATAACAAAGGAAACCCCATAACAGAAGTGCAACTGCATGTGTAGGCCTTCTTTAAAATTAATTAAAGTCCAACACCCACCATAACAGTCTCAAGTGCCCTTAAGAGTTAATCACTGCTGTAGAATATGATAGCTGTATGAAGAATGCCGAAGCCAGAGACAACGTCATGGAAGTCACTACAGGCAGTACATATTCATGACAGAGGACTACAGAGTGAGGAAGATTTAAGTGGAAAAAGTTCCAGTTACTTAGAGGATATCAACYATTTATCTGCAAGTGATGAAGAACAAAGTAGAACTGTTTGTGGTGAAGTCACTGACCAAAGGAAAGGCTCTGATCCATAAGAACCACAATGCAGCTCAAAACAGAGACCATCCTTGATGGACCTTCCTGGCTTCAAAACATCAACTGCTTACTGCTAKATGCCAGAATTTAAAATAAAACAAATCTTTTAATTTAAAAAGTCTCATTGTAAGGACCATTTTGTCTTAATTCACTGCATCTTTCTCCAAATGCAGCTTGCATTACAATGATTGCATGCTGTAAATAATCACAATTTATGTGATTATATTCTTCTTTGAACTCTCTCAGGGAGGGGAAGTGAGAGAGCGTACCTGTCTGTACATCTCTGGCAAACACAGTCATCTTGCTCTCCACTGCCAGCATCTGCAGGACTGTGTTTCCATTTCCCTGGATATTTTTGTTCAGRGTGTTAAAGTAACTTGTCATATCCACCATGAAGTGCTGCTTCTACAGCCAACATAGWTTTCCCAGCTCTGGATAGCTGAAGKCTTTACTTTCAAGAAAGGTTTTCACATGTTCCAGACAAGCAGCAAAGTGCTTAAGCATCTCTCCCCTGGAAAGCCACCGGACTTTGTTGTGCTGCAGGACAT